ACATTGAACAGAATTTTTTTCATTAACTGGAAAGAGAGATAAGAATGAACAGAGTATGTGAGAAAAAGAGAGTTAATTCTACCAAGCATCTTGGGGAAGATGGTTATTATATACTTCAGCATTAACTTTATTTCTGGGTTCCAAAGAAAGCTGAAAAATATGATGAATTATATAGTTTTACTCTTTGCATAAAATTAATCATCAGTGCTTCACAACAGTGCATTGAGGTGCAATCAGTACTTTTGCCATGCCTGGGTCAGATTGCTTAAAGTATGTAGGTGATGTATGTCCAGATTTCTGTAGATGTTTCCTATAAATGGAAACAGGAATAGCTGTTAGCCATTTCCATTTTGGACAAGTCTCAATTTTAAAGATGATGAACACAGTATGTGGCATGTTTTCAATATTCATTTCTATTGGGCATTTATCAGACACCATCTAATATTAATTTGACTGGAAATTGTTGAAAGAGAGAAGATAAATGAAAAGACAGTAATTTTGTTTTATATATTAGATTAAGTTTTGTATTGTTGGGGCAAATATATATCAGTTTACTCTCCATCCACTACTTTAAGCTTGTTTTTATTGCCTTTTAAAAAACTAATTCTATATGATAAAATAACAATAATAAAAGAAAAAGAGAATTAACCTATTCTTTACTTTTAATTATCTTAATAGTCATTTGGATCACAACAGGGTTAGTCTAATCATCAGACCACTTGTGATAATAGACAGAGCTCAGTACGTTGGACAAAAAGGATTTGATGGTACATGATTCATTCAATTAACAAAAATTTTGAGCTGCTTCTTCATACAAAGCATTATGCTAGCACTGGGGTACAAGGATAATGAAATGGAAGTCTGCTCCATAGAAGATCTCAGTGGGGAAACAGTCACATAAAAATGTATAGTAGAATTGATTCATAATGTAGGCATACACATTATTTTTTAATTTAGGAATAATAAAGGTTTGTTGGTTGATTTTTAACCATATAAAGCAGGCAAATAAAGCAGAGTCATTTCTTATACTAAGCAAAGATATTTACTTTTAAAAATCTAGATTGCTATCTATATCCTCTCCTCCTCTTTCCTGCTAAGGCTATTCAATGGAAATCCCTAAGGATGATTCTGTCATGGGTCTTGTAAGGTAGCCGATGATTTGACATACGTTCACTCACCTTCTCCGTGCCTCAGAATCCTCAGGTGCCAAATAAGGAAATGTTTTTAGAATCCTTAATATAATTCCAATGAAATTATATGAGCTCCTTAAAGAAGACAATACAGCCAGGCAGAATTTTGTTTTTGTTGTTGTTATTGTTTGCTGTTAACTAATTTAAAGTCAATTATAAGTACTTTAATATCACACTGCCCGTAGGTGGTAATGGGGTGTATTTTCAAAGTTCAAATATTGTTTTCTTTTATTACAGGTTTCTTTTCTCCATGGAAAACTCCAAAGCCTGTAAGTTGGAATTATTATGCTTCTTTACTTCTAGTTACTGTTGCAATCCCATTAAATAAGAGTTGAATTGGGCGACCTCAAAATATCTTTCTCTTCTAATATTTTGTGATGTCAAAAGAACAAATCCTCTCTGTCCCTTTGGCATGTATTTGTCCCACAAGTACAAGAATAACTCAACTTACTTTCCTGTAAAGACCATTCTAACCTTTTTTAAAAATATGCTTCCAAAATGAACATTAACACTACTCAATCTGGTGTAATGAAAATACTTTAGAAACCTTTTGTTTTTCCCCTGTGAGAAATACTATATAGTCTTTATCACGTGGGATTTTTAGAAAGAATGCAAACTATAGGCCCAGAAGTCTTGACCTGCAAATTAAATCTTGTCCACAAGATATTTAACTCTGTATATATTTATACTTAAATTAACATTTTAATATCCACAGAGCTATATGTGTGTGTGTTGCGTGTGTGTATATGTGTGTGTGTTAGTTCCATATATATGTATATAAATTATATATGTGAATGTATATACACATATATATATGTTTAAGCTCTATATACTTTATATATATTCTGCCAAACCTGACAATCACTCAAAGTGGTGCATCTGAATCTTCTTCAGATGCTGGAGATCTCTGTCATCATCAAACCTCTCTGGGCCTAGTTCCTTTATAAAACATACTAAAATTTTTATGTTGATGTAGGAGGATGGTGAGTTTTAATAATCTCTGTGTAAGGCGAGGTTAGCCAAGTTGACTTAGCAGTTAGAGATGGTATTTACTTGCCAATAAGTTGAAACTACTAATGGCCCAAATCCCAGGAGCTGAGACTGGTTTTCTGGGATCCCATTTTATGGTGTGTTAGAGTACTCTACCCTAACTGAAACATCTAAAACTCATGACTGGAAGGGTGCTACGGAAAAGCAGAACGCTCTTGCTGAGCGTGTTCTCATTTAGGACGTGGCTTATTTAATCCACAGAGAACATCCGATGGGAAAACTAGTCCTATTCGGGCTTAGCAAATCACTTACTGATGCATGTGATTTTGAAAAGAGGTATTTTTAAATAATTAAAGTGAAATTTGGTTTACCTTGACCAATGTCAAAATAGTTCCTTCCTTTCACAACCACACTTAAATCTGTGCTCTGTGGTTACCCACATCTTTATCTAATTTAACAAGGAAACTTGCAAACTCATCATGGTGCTACAATTATGCAATCTAGTGATTTCCTTGTATGTTCCACATTTACACAAATTATGTTATTTGGTGTAATTACAGCATTTGCTGTCATTATAATAATTACATTCATAGTCAATAATTCCTAAAAGGTTTTATAGAACTCAGCAAACAATTAATCCTGAACCTGTGTATCTCTACAAAAGCTAAGACTTGGACTTCCAGGTCCTAGGCTGAGCAAAGATAGAGGGCTGTAGATTTAATGTCATGCATGTATCTACCAGAAACTCATTAGACTGAGGACTATAATGAGAGGAAGTATGGTATAATTGTTTAGGGGACAGGCTCTGAAGGCATACTGCCTGGGTTCAAGTTTTGCTGCTTCTCCTTACTAGCTATATGACTTTGAACTAGCTGCTTAAGCTCTCAGTGTCCCAATCTCTGCATCTGTCAAATGGAGGTAATAGTAATACCCTTCTCATATGGGTATTGTGAAGATTCTATGAGTTAATCCTTGCAAGGTGCTTAAAACCATGCCTCTACATGTTGAGCTCAAAAGTATAAGCTACTATCAGCATAGGAAGCAGACCCCCATGCATGAACCCTTAATAAATAAATAATCTTAATAGTCATTTGAATCGACTCTATGAAATGAACATGGTTGACTGAACTCAAAACAAATATATAATGATATACCCACAGTATATGAATTTATACACTCTCTCCTCTGAGGAGGATTGATGACACCATTAGTCAGAGTAAGAAAATACTATCCTGGCTGAGATCTAGCCTCCTCCTTGTCCTGTGTCACTCCCTGATGCTCTTCTGTCCTACTGATCCACATCCTAAGCTAATCCATGTCAACATAGTCACTTCCTGTGTAACAAGTAATACACTAATTATAGTGGGTTCTCATTCTCTCCATCTGCAAGGGCTCAAGTTCATGCTTCAAGTACAGAATCAAGCCAAATACCTTTATTTCCCAGCCCTGCTCAAAATAGGGAGGGAGTGGGTTTAAACTATCCCAATTTCTATAGGAAGAAAACAAGTTTTAGACATAGTATTTCATGGAGGAAAAAAATAACCTGCCTTATTCACAACCCCTCTACTCTCTATATACACCATAGCATCAAAAGCTGGGATTAAAAATAATTAGCTACAACCACGAATGGATTTTTCTGTTTTACTGTTTGATACCCAGATCTGAACTGTATGTCCAGTCTGTCCACTGCTATTTCAGTGACTGCCCTTTCATACGGACAGACATCCATTCATTCACCAAGGCTGGCAGAGATACAATCTTCTCTCAAATACAGAAAACAATTTTATTTCCATTTTTTCTTACTCTACTGAAATGTTTATAAATATCAGCCCAGTTTATGGACACCACTGAGACCAGACAGGAAATACCCAATAAGAAGCCTTGTTAAGAGATAGTCACCTGGTAGGAAACACAAACTCTAGACAGTTCAAGGCCAGGAAGATGCTAGGTAGAGCAAGTGAGGCCCATGGACCTGGGTATGGTGACAAGATCAGGAATCAAGGAGGTTCACGAAGGTAGAGAGGAACACAGAGTGTCCCAGGTAGAAAACAAAAGTCCAGAGACCAAGGTGTGTAAGGAATTAGGGAGGAGTCAACAGAATCCACCCTTCCAAAGGGACAATCAGGTCAGCACACCATCCCCAGAGAAGGAGGGGACCTCTGATCCCAGGGCAGTTGGTTTACCCCATGGTCTTCGGAGTTGGAAGCCACCAGGTTTGGAGGGAGCAGGGTAAGAAGGGGTAGGGGTGGAATGGTAAATCTACTTTTTCATGGGCACAGTGATTTTCTGCTCTACAGTCTTTTAAGAAACTCTGACATAGTGACTCAAGGGTTGATGAATGTCACAGCAAGAAGTTTCGAATGCTTTACAAAGCATGAACTGGAATCTTGACTAATTTCCCAACCTCTGTGCTATAGAAATTGTAAAATTTGTCAATCTGCCATAGAAACTTTTCCAAACAGTGCCCAAAGCATTATTTGTTCTGTAGTTTTAAGATTGTTTTTTTAGAAATACCAATATTTTAACTGAAGCATGTTTGCTCCAATGACTATACATGAACAATACAGATACCAGCAAGAGCAAGACACATGTGGCTATCAGATAACACTCAGTGCAATGTGAGAGAAAGAAATAGACATTGGCTGGAGCTGCATGATGACAAGCAGGATACTACAGCTCCCCTAACCATATTTCTAATTTATTTACTTTTTTGCATTTAGTATCTTATGTTTGGGAACAGAAGAAAGTCATAGCCGGAATGAATCCACAAAGTGCCTAAAGTCAATTAAAGTGAAAAATTTTAAAGGATATTCCTTTAGCCACAAATGTGGTCTTCCATTGCATAGCAAAGCCACCCAGAATGGATGACCAGAGAAATCCAGAATGACTTTCTGTATGAGTTTCACTATCAAATGAATTATGAATTGCATATTTAAAGATTTTTACTAAATGGGAGCACAAGGCGCACTGAGCAGAAAATTTACTAAAACTCTAACCATCTTTACCAGTTATTCCCCCCACTGTGTTATTATGTAAACAGTCACTCCTGTTAGAGTGAAAGGTTGCTTCTGACCCAGGATCTGCCACTGACAGCTGCTGCTGCCACTTACCCTCTCTGTGCTTCTAGAGATTATGTTGAATAGGAGGGAATTAAACTAGACTAGGGGTTTTCCATCCTTGTTAGCTATAGAAACTTTGATCACATGAAATCTTGGGCAGTAGCTCATACAGAAAAAAATTAAAATGAAGCCAATCTTACTGAAAGAAGGGTCAGTGACCCATTTCTTTCCTAGTTTGCTGGCTCAACACAAACCCCTGCCATAGTCCCAGGTGGGCAGGGTGGGCCACAGGGATCTGTGGTGTGACCCAGGGCATGTGCAGTTTGAAAAACACTGGAGCACATCGTACCTCACATCCCTTCCAGCTTTAAAATATTGATTATTGACAGGTCAGAGCTACAATCAGAGCCCTGGCCAAAATATAGCCAGTGTGAAAACAAAAGCAGGACAATACAGTAGGGGATAGAAAGATATGATCCTGCCAACTTCAAAGTATTGTATATGAAAACTGCCTTTTCAAGTGACGATATTTTGTTCATCACTTCATTCATCTACTAAATGAACATTTTCTGAGCACTCTATAATACAGCAAGGATAAAGACACAACCCCTGTCCCCGACATGACCTATTTGAGACCCAGAAGGGCAGATGTATAAGCATAGGCGGATGTGATGAGTGGGGTAAGAGGAAGTAGAGGTGCTGTCAGAGTACCCAGGAGGGGCCAAATGGGCAGCAACAGCCTTCCAGGAAAGGAGATGTCACATCTGAATCTAGTAGCCAGGTAAAGTGAGGAGGGGAATGAAAGAGTGGGAAATGAGTAAACTTTGCATGGAGAAGGAGAAATCAAGAAAGTATGCAAAGGTTCAGAGGCAAAATAGAACCTGGTGGATCCTAGGGAACAAGAGGAGAGACCACTGCCAACATGAGAAAGGTGAGCAGAACTGGGTCAAGAGAAGCCCACCACACCCACTAGGGAGCTTGGCCTTTATCCTGAGGACCATGCTGAACCAGTGCAGAATTTTAAGCAGGAGGGTAAACTAATCTAATTTTTTACATGCACTACAGGTTTATTCAAAGCAGAAAAGCAGAAGTTGAGTTTGAGTAAGGAATCAGTTAATTGTTGGATGAAGGTGAAGTTGGTGGTGCCAATAGGTGATCTCAGTGAACCTGGCTTCCTCCTTATAAAGGATGATGTTAATCTCTGCTTTATCTATCTCACAGTGCTATGGTGAGGACCAAAGAATATTATGTATGTGAAAGAGCATGATAAACTAGGAAGTACTCTATAGGTCTTTAATAAATTGTGATAGTAGCATTTTGGGGGAGAAATCACCAGCTCAGCAGTAAATGAGGCTTCCTAGAAGACTTTGAACAATTTCTGAATCCTAGATGGTCGTATAATTACTTATAAACTGAAAGGAAAGTGATTGAAGTATAGGATGCTGTTGGGATATTCACAGGTAACAGATGGATACGTGCAGCTACTTCATCTTCTGCTTTAGTATTATAGTAGTGGTGTAATGTACTGGGACCATCTTAGAAAAGGAATACTATACCTTTCTACTCAGTTACACATGTTATCTTTATTTTATGGGGAAAAAAAACAGAGAAGTTAAGTGATTTGCTAAAATTTGCCTGCTAGTAGATGACAGGGTTACATTCAAAAGTCAGGCACCATTTGTATTTATAACAATCTATGATGCTTTATTGCATACAAATAGAATCTTTTCTTTCAAGGCAATTATACCAAAGTTTTTAATGTTTCCTGGAAGAAAAGTCCACAAGGCAAGAATGTCTAACATAAAGGTGACAAGAGAAATAGCAGGGAAGGATTCACTGTCAGTCATTTTCTCTGTTCTCTTTCACTTTTTAGATAACAGACCGATGGGAGAATCAAGGCAGTCCTCAAACGAGCTTATCTGCTCCGGCCATACCGCAGAACCTGCCCTTCCCACCCGCACTTCACAGGAGTTCCTTTCCTGACTCAACAGAGGCCTTTGACCCACGGAAGCCTGACCCATATGAGCTCTACGAGAAATCTAGAGCCATTTATGAAAGTAGGCGTAAGTGAAAGCCACATACAACAAGGGTACATTAATAATAGCTGAGTCTCTGACAGGAGAGATATTGAGGCTGAATGATCTGAATGATTTTATATTCTGAGTTTCAAAAGTATCTCAAAAGTAGAGCCAGCTGGTCTAAAATTATCTTTAAAAGCCTGTTGATTCTAAAAGTAAGCTTATTATATGTTTCAGTTTTAAATTTTGTCTCCTACTTTTTTTCCCCTAAGAACTTGAGGAAAATCAAGAATATATTTTTGGGGAGTGGGAATGGGTTGCTAGTTTTGTTTCAGTCACCAAATAAGGAAAAGAAATATTTAAAATTTGTATCTGATTAATCTGATCTTGAATCTAAAGCTTAGATTTTTCTTAGAGCCTTGAATGCAGCCATTGAAGTTAGAGCTTTGAGTAAAATGTCAGCCAAGTCTTTCCAACTCACAGTCATAAAATCAGTTGGTTTTGAAAGCAGTACAGAGCCAGGTGCCAATCATCCCCACCGGAGTCTTCTGCTTCTCATTTCATGCAATCAGACACCTTTGAATGTTCCGTCTGAAAATATTGTGTATGCACTTGTCACCTTATCTGAAGGTCTTTTAAAATTATTTCATGGCACTTTATAAACATTAGAAAACAAGGCTTTTTGGCCAGGCACAATGGCTCATGCCTATAATCCTAATACTCCGGGAGGCCAAGGCAGGAGGATCACTTGTGGCCAAGAGTTGAAGACCAGCCTGAGCAATGTAGCAAGATCCCACCTCTAAAAAAAAATAAAATAAAATAAATTTTTTTTAAAATTAGCCAGGAGTGATAGCATGCACCTATAGTCCCAGCTACTCAGGAAGCTGAAGTGGGAGGATTGTTTGAGCCCAGGAGAGTTCGAGGCTGCAGTGAGCTGTGATCATACCATTGCACTCCAGCCTGAGTAACAGAGGGAGACCCTATGTCTATTTAAAAAAAGAAAAGAAGTCTTTTAATATTGCATGTACATTTGTCATGCTTCTTTCTGCCATCTTACAGGTCATCTCCACAACATGTTAGAGGACTTCAATCTAAATGGCCTGAGTGTATAATACACAGTATAGTAAGAATCTGAGTCAGTGATCAGGTAACCCAGCCTAGTGAGAAGGATTTTGTCCCTGGTGCTCCCATTTATGGTGTGCTGATTTCCTTTGCTTCAGTGTTCTGCCGATGTCTTTTTTCCCAACTTTATCATTGGAAGCATGAATAGCAGGTTTTAAATGGTGTGTGATCTCAGAGGATCTCAAATCTGCTTACTCTTTTGATGAGCTCAGGGGCTGAGAATTATGCACCCAGCTGGTAAAGGGAAAGGCAGACATAATACCTTTCCCTGATCCTCTACAACTCTTTGTAGAAGTAATTTTGGTTGATAGAATAGTTAGGACAGCAGGCCATCGAGAAATCATTTTCATCAAAATGAAACAACCCACACATACACACTTTTTTTTTAAGAATTGGCTACATCAGAGCCACCATAGTTTATTCTTCTCCTTCTAGATGAACAACTGAAATATCTTTAGAGGATTGTATCATTAGAATGTCTTTGCTGTAGTAGAGTAAGAACAAAGGAGGCATTTTTAGCTGTATAATATAGGGTATGAATTCAGGGTATTAATGCTCATTAAACTGAAAAAAATTGAAGACATTTCAGCGCAGTTCTTGATACATTTTCTGCTTCAATAACCAAGTATTTATTGAGTACTCACTTTATTCTCAACACTGTGGGAAAATACCAAAGATGAGTAATATGTCTGCTCTAAGACATTTAACTGGAGAAGTAAGAAGAATGAGTGTAAACAAGTAGAGAGAGAGTGTGGTTCTAATGTGGAAGGTGGAAACACGTTGCGGGATTAAAATATCATCCTCACGTCCTTGGCTTGTTTGATTTCATGGTTATATTTAGGGAGCATTAAGAGATACTTCCTTCTGGCTTTTTGTCTCTTCATTAGTCATTTGCTTCCATCCTTTTGCAGTTTCTTGGCCGATGCAAAGCTTTATTATTCAAGACAAAGGCAATGTTGGTGTTTATTCTCAGTCTTCTCTTTGTGGTTCTTCTCTGATACAGTTGCGCCCTCAGTTTCTGAGCAAGAATTGTACATGACCCTCTCTCAACTCTAAAAGAATTCTGCTTTCTTTATCCAGCCCCTGCAACACCATTTCTGTTCATTGCCTTTCCTCTCCTCACCTGTAACAAGCCAAGCAAACTAATCCACCTTAACCTCCCGTAACTTTCTTTTTCAGTCCTCCTCTGGGAGCTCTTTATCCCCCTTCGCTTCTGCAGCTGCAGAACAGCAAACATGCTGACGACTCCCCACGTCACCCCCTCCCCCCTCGGTGACCTCGCCTGTGCCACTGCTGCTGCCGCCCAAATGGCATCCCCCTTCTTGTTTCTCTCTAATGTTTCTGAGGTCTCAGTAATGTTTTCAGGGTCAAAACTCCCAGGAAGCCAAAAAAGAGCAAGCTTATTTCCTTTCCTATCCTTCTCTTTTCTATCGTGTTACTTCATAACGCTAAATGGAGTGTGAATGAAAGACAGAAATCATGTCAAGGTAAGAAAAGCTGTACCCCTGAAGATTAAGGACACCAAAAGAGCACAATGGCATTTTCTGTATTCTGTCTAGCCGATTAGTTCACTCTTCTTGTTGTCATGTGGGTGTCTTTAAAAAACAAGACAGCATTTTTCCCTCTGTACATTTCTATTTCCAAAAAGGACAAGTTTCATTCTCTCATTTAAATTTTTATAGTAATACTAAAAAAAATTTTTTTTTAAACTAATGGATGAAAAACTCAGTCTATTCCTCATCCTCTTCAGTTGATTTAGGCAATGATCATAAAATGTATGCACCCAAACAAAAGATCCATGTTCAAAATTTTTTATTGTGAAACACTCCTATTCTTATTCCTTTGAATCACATGCATGACATTTAGGTTTGGCTCTATTTATTCTTGTGTCTCTAAACTTTTTCCTGGGAGGAAAAAAAAATCAGTGAGACCAGGGAAAATGTGGGAGGGAATCCTAACCAAAGCTATTTAAACTAAGTCCTTTGACATTTTCCCTAGCCCATCGTGATCTCATGGTATCCTTCCTTACAGCCATGTCCAAAGCTAAAGAGATTTTTGCATTCACATGCAAAACTGGGTTGCAGTCACCAAATAAAAAGACACCCCCCACTCACAAGCCCGGGCTGTACAGAGCTACAGAATGTTTGTTCTATCAAAGTTGTCACGAAATATTTGGTTTCAAGTCACCAGTCCCCTGCAAATGATAGAAATTTATCAAATGATGTAAATGCTGCTGTGCCTCATTTGACTCATAATTAGATTATGCTGACATTTTAATGTGCACGCACAGGACATCTTAATAAAGGTGTATTCCTGGGGAAAAGTGCTGTGATTGTAAACAAACGAAGACAACCATAAGATACTAGAGCCACATGAAACAGAACATGACAGGTACCTGCTTATGAGAGGAAAGCTAGACACAGCCTATCTTCGCGAGATCTTCTCAAGATGAGGTAGGACTGAAGAAGGCAGAGAAAGGAAGATTCTTCCACCCTGCAGGCTGGTAATGTCTCTGATTTCAGAGCATTAGGCACAGTGCCCAGAGGTGGCAACGGCAGGCTCCACATCAATCAACAAGAATATATGAAACTCTCATTATGTGTCTAGGACTCTGCTAGGCCCTCCCCAAGAGAAAAGTCATGAGAAATAATCTCTGCTCATTAGAAGCTTGCAGGGAAGTTGAGGACACAAACAAATAACACACAGGAAAACAATTCCTGAACAAGGCTACATCACACAATGCAGCAAATAATATCGGTATTTTAACGTGTGGAATTGTGCAATAAAAGTAATTAGACATTTATGATAGTTTCTCAACTTTCATATGCAAAATTGATGTTTAATCAGAAGGATGTATTAGATATCTTTGAATTATCAAAAATCGCATTAGTCCAAATAGGAGAACTCTGCAAAAAAGAAAAAATTTTCCCACTAACTTAATTTCACATAAGCTTAAGCTTACATATAAAAAAGTAGAACCATGCCCCCCCCCAAAAAAGTCCCCCCAAACAGATTTGACCAATGGGACTTCTGGATCTTCATGTCAATTATTTAAACATTGACCCTATGTCATTACTACCTATTCCCAGAAAAGAGAAAAAATCTCCCCACTCCCATCTCTACCAAAGATTTTTGTCACCATTCTGTTTGTATTAGTCTCTGTTGATATTTGACTTCTTCCTGTCCCCATTGCTTGCAATTTTAAAAATTGAAAGCAAAGGAAAATATCCACCTTTGTATAGTGGGACAAGCCCTACTATTTTTGACTTCACGCTTCTCTATCCTTTTCCCATGAATCTCATGAAGGAAGGGCTTGCATTTTTTTGCAATCACAAGAGGAACTGCTTGAATTTTGTGTTTGTATTCTAACATTCCTAAAGCTGGACTATGTATATCATCTCTCACCTTGGAAAAGAAGTATTTCTAAAGGCCTTTACTGTTTTCTCCCTCTCATCTCGTCCTGCCATTCTTTCTCTATGTATGATTGTGCCCTTGCTTCAAGCATATATTTCTGACGTGATAGGAAACTTTTTTAAATGGCCTAGTTCCCCACGAGACTAGAGTGACTACATGTGGGAGTTTTCCTGGAACGGTCCTGGTTTGTGTTGTCCTGGCATAATTATTAACAGCTCACTTTTTACCCTATAGACACTGTCCTTATTTGAATGACAAATTATGAGGTTTCCCTTTATTGCATAATCTATTCAAGGAATAGACGTCATTGCTGTCCAAGAAAAGCATATATCTAAATGTACAGACTATGAATAAAAATTTTAACACCTACTTAGATAAATAATTTTCCAAGTTAAATTATTTGGCTACTAGGATTTTTTCCTATACATGTTTCATCCCTAACTTGGGGTGAAGGCTTAATTGGTGGCTCATCTTGGTAGCCAAACTCCCAATAAACTCCCTCCATACCC